CCACGACCACAAGGTCCCCATGGCCATATAGCCTCCACGACCACACAGACCCCATAACCACACAGACCCCATAACCACACAGCCCCCTTGACCACACAGTCCCTATAACCACATGGGCCCCATGACCACACAGACCCCACGACCACAAGGTCCCCATAACCACATGGCCCCCATGACCCCAAGACCACACAGCCCCATGACCACATGGACCCCATAATGACACAGCCCCCATGACCACACAGACCCCATAACCACACAGTCCCCATGACCCCACAGCCCCAGACTGGGGTCCCCACTGACCCTGCTGGCCCGCAGAAAGAGGAAATGAATTTCCTGACAGGCAATGCGTGTTGAGAGCCAGGACCTCGGATTCCTAAGAAGAGCATTGGGGAAACTCAGCCTGTCCCCCAAGTGATTCACCAGCCAGCTTTGCAGAGAAAGTCCCAAAGTTGTCCAGGAGTTAACTGTTTGGTTTGGGATTTCAGAGTGGCTGCCACGTCCTTTCCTGAATTCCTGGGTGCCCAGAGCAGACACTGCTGCTCTGCTTTTCTGTTCCTTAGAAAAGCCACTTCCCAGATGGATGTGACTTCTTAGGAGGTATTTGCTTAGCAATAGGCGTAAATCTTCTGCTCTTCACATCGGTCTGGGTGAGATAAAATATTCTGAAACTGTCTATTTAAACATCTTATGCTAATACCATGAAGTGTTTGTTCAACTTTTATTATTCTTTTAGTTCTGAAATAGCGAATGCTCCCAGGCATGTCAGAGTACAGCAAATCCAGAGCTGCAGACACTGCATCCAAACTAAACTGGGGCTGAGCAGGCGGGGATATTCCTGGATAAGGCGACCACTGACATTTTCCGGCAGAGGCTGCAGCCGGGAAGAGCTGAGCAAAACAGTAAAAGCTGCTGTCACAGCCACTTGCGCAATCGCTCGGTTTTCCCCAATAATTTCTTACTTGAATTTGTTGCTTCTCTCTGCTCTTGATCTAGCTGCTGGAAAGCTGAGGTTGCCTGGTGAGTCAGGAGTGCTGCTTCAGGAGGGAGAGGGTGCTGCTGGAGTGTGGATGCTCTGGACACGATGCTGTGATGAGGTGACACAGAGGGGAGGTATCAGCAGATACTGACCCCCTGATGCAGCCTGGGCAGGGACAGTGGGACTGTTCCCCCCTGGCTTTGGCACAGGGGTGTCAAGGAACTGCCTTCAGCTGAAAGCCCAGGTGGTGGTGAGGCTTCTGCTGCCTCTCTCACTTCAGTCCTCACCAATGACAGATTTATAGCCCAAAAGGCTGTCAAAGGACAGCTCTTTTCCTTGACAATAGCACATGAGAAAAAATTGTCAGGGTGTGCCCAATCCATCTGTCATTGAGGAGATAGGCTCATCCTATAACTTAATGCCATCAATCACTAAGACCAAAGGTAGAGATCAAGGCTGCTTACTCAGAGGAGTACCTAAGGCCGTGTCTAGTCAGGCACACAGTGACAGCCAAATAAATTTCCTTGCTATGGTCCCTGGGGAGCTTGCACTCTTCTCCAGAGCTCAGAAACATGCCTGCTCTGCAAGGAGCCCTTGGGCTACTCAGGGAGTAGTTACTCTGCAGAGTGCTTACCATGATCTCCTTAAAGCCCAGGGAATAAGTTTAAAATAGAATATTTCAGAGAAAAATCCATCTACTTGTCTACAGCTGCACAGGAATCCCATACTCATGGGTGAAGGCAGCACTGGGAGCACCACAAGCAGTGTGACAAGGACTGCAGGTACACAGGCTCCAAACGTGAGTTCTGCACATTCTTGATAGGCTCCTCCTCTAGTCCTCCCTTCCTACATTTCCTTTTTTCTGAGAAGAGTTGAGCTTTGTTCCTCCTGTGGAATCACCACAGCACACAGCAGCGGGCTCTGGAGGCCAGGAGCTCTTTCCCAATATACAAGTGGGAGGAATCTTCCCTCAGTGCCTGATGCCACTGGGCATGTGTCCAGGCTGGCAACCCGTGATGGTTCTGCCATCAGACCCTTGTTCATCAAGGCCACTCAGAGCAGCAGATCTCTCAAGCAGCACCTCCATGAACCTGAGTGATTGCACTGTAAAAACAACCATAAAGGGATGTTGCTCAGCTTTGCTTCCAGCATTACTCCTCAGCTTTCCTCATGAGGCATGATCACCCTCTTCCAAAGAAAGGGTGTAAATCATAATTTGTTTTCACTTTCATTCAGGAATGTGCTGAGTCCTCTGTAATAAATTATATTGCTTGCTGTAAAAGAAAATCCAGAGGCAGCTCTGTGAGCCTCTTGAGTCCCTGAGTTGCAGGTGATGGGAGAATTCAGTTCATCACCAGAAACACGTGTGGGGGAGTGCAGTGAGATGAGCCACTCCACAGATGAGCAAGGCATTGAGGACACCAAAGCTGTTGGAAACACACAGATCCCAAGGCAGCCAGTCCCAGCCCTGTCAGCTCCCTGAGAAGCTGAGGAATGAGCTCAGCCTGGAGCAGGTGCCTCAGTAGGTACCTCATTCCTCAGGGTTTGTCTATGCAGGATTCTTAAGAAAATTAAATTGAATTAACAAAGTTTAAAGTAGAACATTAAAATTCTGCATAAAATTCTCATTCAGAATTAAAGTGGCCTTAATTCAGTTTAATTTACTCCCAAATGCTGCTAAATAAGGCCATTTAAGTTGTCTTTAATTAACATAATGGTCCCACATAGGCTTTTATAAAGGAGATTTAATTAGCCCTTTTTTAGGAGTGAGTTAGCTGCCTTGAGCTTCCATAGGGAAGCAGCCAGGTCCAGGGCCACTTTGCTGACAGGGCTCCTGGTTGGGCTGGTTAGCAGGAGTTGCAAAGAGCTGGCATCACCTCCCAAGGAACTGGCACAAGGCCAGCTTCTACCCCACCAGCAGATAATGGGAGCCTTGAATATCAACTATTTTGGCTGGGTTAAATGCATGAGTGGGAGACGAAAGGCTCTGCTAGAGGATGAGCTCTTCCTTTAAAATCTGGGACATGGGGGTGGTAATCCCTAGCAAAATGTGACATCAAGGTTTTGCAGACTTGCTCATAAAGAAGGAACCAGGCTAGAGGAAAGCTTACTGTGAGTCAGCAGAGAGGAGGATGGAGGTGGAAGATGGGGAGAGACTGACCCCATCCATGAGCTCCTGCTGTCACAGAGCACTTTGGGCTCCCCGCTGCCCCTGGATGCTCTAGTTCCTTTTTTACATCCCAGAATTCCCAACTCAGCAGGATGAGATGCTGCTGGCTGCTCTTCATGAGCATCCTGAAAGCACCTGGCCTTGCCGGCCCCTGTCCTCCCCTCAGTCTCAGGTTCCTGCTGGAACAGCCCAGTGCTTCCTTGTGCTGTGATGGGGACTTCCACCTCTGTCCTTTGGACACGGACGTGTTGCAGAGGGACAGAGGCTCAGCAGTGCCAGCTGACAGCCTGTCCCACTGCAGAAAGGGCATGAGGCAGCTGCCCTGCTGTGGGCACAGCACTGCATCACCATCATTGTCTGGAGGTGGAGAGCCTCAGTGCATCCACTATCCCAGCAAAGTTCTGTGAATCTTCATACCCTCAGAAGCTGCAGCCTCCACCACAGCCCTTGCAGTACCAAAAAAAAAAAAAAAGTACTGTTCAAAGCAGTGTGCAAATGTGAAAAAGAAAAATAATAATCAAAATCACCCATGAGGAGCTCTGAGGTGTGACTGGCATGTGACTGCCTCTGAATTTTGGGTAGAGAAGCCAACAACCTCCCTCTCTCCTGGCTTCTTTCACCAAATTAGAGCCATGTGGCTGCTGCCACTGCTTTGCATAAATCAGGAGATTCAGTTTTGTGCCTCTTCCTTGGGGTATGTCCTATAGGAAGTACATCTGTGGCTGTACTTTCTGGTGCAATAGACTTTAGCCTGGAAGCAAAAGCACACAAACAATGCTAAATTCATGCTGACTGGAGTAGATTCCAAAGGAAAGAAGTGTTGGGAAAGCACCTACTTAAGAACTGAGCAAGGATTATCTCTGATCTGAATCTCGCTCTGTGTGTGTGTTACTGTTGAGCACACAGTGCGGTTTCAGACACGGCCAGAGACAAGGAAAAATGATTGTTTCGGGGTAACCACAAGGAAGATGAATGCAAATGCATTCCTGTAACTGGGAGAGTTCCTCGCTCCCGAGTTGGGCTCCGGTACATGGCCTCGGGGAAGCAAATTTGCAACTACCTTCATTAAATTGTTTAGGCATGATTAATCAGAAGTCAGAGATGTGAAGTTTTAGCACGTTTCACAACGTGGATTTTAACCTCTGCAGTTCCACACAGGTGCTTTTCAGCGCTTGGCAAGGGACAGGCACTGGAGGGTGACAGATGTTTCCTACCAGCGCGTATCTCCTCCGCACGGGCGGGCTGATAAGCCACCAGCGGCTGAATCACGGCCACCTGCATCGCTGGATCCAGGTGCTGCAAGGGACGCGTGTACCTGCATCGCTGGGATCCAGGTGCTGCAAGGGACGCGTGTACCTGCATCGCTGGGATCCAGGTGCTGCAAGGGACGTGTACCTGCATTGCCGGGATTCAGGTGCTGCAAGGGGCCATGTGTACCTGCATCGCTGGGATCCAGGTGGTACGAGGGACGCGTGTACCTGCATCGCTGGGATTCACGCGGTGCAAGGGATGTGTGCCTGCATCGCCGGGATCCAGGCGGTGCACGGGCCACGTGTACCTTCATCGCTGGGATCCAGGCGGTACAAGGGACGCGTACCTGCATCGCTGGGATCCAGGTGGTGCAAGAGCCATGTGTACCTGCATCGCCGGGATCCGGGCGGTACAAGGGACGCGTGTACCTGCATCGCCGGGATCCGGGCGGTGCAAGGGCCATGTGTACCTGCATCGCCGGGATCCAGGTGCTGCAAGGAACGCGTGTACCTGCATCGCCGGGATCCAGGCGGTGCACGGGCCATGTGTCACGAAGCCCGGCCCCAATCGGCAACAGCGGCGGAGCGCCGGGCGGGGCGGGGCGGGCCGGGCATAGGCTGCCGCTCCACCCCTAGCTCTGTCCTTCCGGCCTCCTGCCTCTCCCTATAAATAGGCTGCCTCCCGCCGCCCTGCTCCGGCCCCATGGAGAGGCAGCGGCAGCCCGGCGGTGGCAGCGGCGCGGTGAGCGCGGGGGTTCGGCCCGGAGCGGAGCGGGGACCGGGGCTCGGCCGGGAGCGGGGCCGGGCTGTGGGGCCGGGGCTCGGCCGGCAGCGGGGCAGGGGCCAGGGGCCAGGGTTCGGCCGGGCTTGGGGCCGCTGCTAACGCCGCTGTCGCCCCGCAGGTCCCGGCGGCGAGCGGAGGCCGCGAGTCCCCCGCCGGGAGCCATGAGCGCGGGCAGCGTCGCCCCGGGCTGGCCTGAGGCGCTGCCGGGCGCGGCCCGGCCCGCAGCGGGGATGAGCGGCAGCGAGAGCCCCGAGGGGCCCGGCGACGGCCCCGAGCTGCAGCTGAAGGTGGATTTTTTCCGCAAGCTCGGCTACTCCTCGGAGGAGATCCGCGTCGTGCTGCAGAAGCTGGGCCTGGGCGCCGACACCAACACGGTGCTGGGAGAGCTGGTGAAGCACGGCCCGGCCGAGCGGGACGGCCCCGAGGCCCCGCCCGAGCCCGGCGAGGCCCCGCTGGTCCCTCGGGGCGGCGCCGGCAACAAATCCCCCGCGCCCGGCCCCGAGGAGACGGAGGGCGACAACCTGAAGCCCATCGTCATCGATGGCAGCAACGTGGCCATGAGGTGCGTCCGGGTGGGCGCGGGGCTGCCGGGCTCTGGGCTCGGGCTGTGGGCTCTGCCAGGCGCGCAGGGCTCGGACCAAAAGCTGTGAGTGCCCCGCTGAAAGCAGCCGCTTCTGGGTGCGTGGAAGGGGCTGGTAATATTTTCCAAGGTGCTTCTCTGACACACGAGGACGACCATCACGTTTGCCGGTGCGGGCCTGTCTTGCCACTGCTCTGTCACGGGGCAATGGTGAGGGCAGCAGTGCTTCCTTTGAGCTTCCTTTGAAACAGACACTTCCTCCTGTGCCCTGGCGCGGAGGGGATAACTGAAGAGACGTTGTCCTCTCAGCTAGTGGCTTTGTGCAAGTTTCCGTAGCAGGAAGTTGCTCAATAAATAATTACAGGGTTAATTAGAGAAGCTTTGTAATATGGAGCTCTATTGGAAACTTGTCTCCAAACTGTGCCTCTTGTATATTGGTGAATCTCTCTCCAAGGCAGAGAGCGATGAGATGTTACAGGTGTCACCGAGGCAGGGCTGTGACTCATCCTTAGCATTTCATTTGTCCCAGTGTTGCTGGAGCAGGTCCTGTTGGACTCTTTGACCAGAGCCCCCAGTATCCATGAAGCATTCTGAATCCCAGGGCTGGATATTTTTTGGTGTGATGTCCCCATTTTCACCCTGGCTTTTGCTCCCACTTTGGTGAGCACTGCCAGCCCTCACCCCAACCCCAGCAGTATGTGTTCCCCACCTCTGCATAGCAGGCTCTTGAAATTTAACACACCAGGTTCTGAACTGGATGCTGAAAGCTTTTTTTCTGTTGCAGCTCAGAAGCCGCCTCCTTTGCTGTTTATGTTTGTGTATGCAGATTTTATAAAAAAATAACCCTGCGTGCGGGTGGAGCTGCCGTGTCGGTTGCAGTAGGTTTGTCTGAGGTGAAAGTGCTGCGTGGAGGTTTGTTTGCAGGTGTGGTTTCTGCCAAGCCCTGGCTGACAGTTCTGAGAACAGAGCTGAGAAAGATGGGGCACAGGTGAGCCCCGCGGCGAATGAGGAATGGTGGTGGCAGTGGAACAGGGCAGGAGAGTGAAAGCCGTGCCTGGCACCCCTGAAGAGAACCTGCTTCCGTTCCTGTGCTCTCCACAGCTCTGGGAACGCTGTGGAAAATGGCCCATTGTGAGCTCAGGCTGATAAGTGACTCTGGCAACAAAGTTTACCTTGGATAAGTGCTTGGGCTTTACCAGCGGGATTGGCCGTGTTTGTTAATGAGGAGCCTCTTACTGGTGAAAGTTACCCCAAAATGCAGAGGGAAAATCACAGCAGCTGTGAGTCAGGGCAGGCCAGGGCCCAGGGTCTGACGTGAGAGAAGCAGTCTGGCTTTTTTAAGCAATTCACTAGAAGGGGAATTCCATTCTGAAACTTCCTGTATTGATGGTGTGATGTTCCCTGCTGATTCATTTTCAGTATGTACAGCGGCCTCCCTCAACAGCTCTTGACAAACTTATGCAAATCATAGTGGAAATTAGCTTTTACTTCCTTCTAAGGGAATTTTTCCTTGGCTGCTGCCAAATCAGATCAGCCCAATTAGCTGCCTTCTGGAGGTTTGAGGTTGGTTGCAGAGACTCAAAAAATAAGAAACAACCAACAACCCAAAACAAAGACAAACAAAAAAAATCCACCAAAAAGGATTTGGTTTTTTTCACATTTACCTCTAAAAAATTGTAGTAACCTATGGCTGGCTATTTGTAGCTAAATCCATCTGATATTGGAGAAAACTTTCAGAGCATCTTCTGATGGTGATTTTCAGCCTTCTGTAATTTAGGATTCTTATTGAAGGTGTGTTAGGTGTCTGTTTAGGTGGGTGTTCTGTTGCCAAGTGTTTAATTCTTCTAGAATAAGTACTTTTGTACAGCTCTTCAACTTCCTTTGTAGTTTGAAAGAGAGGGTGAGGCTGGGAGGGGAACTGAAACTTCTCTGTAGTGGTGCTGCAACAGTGCCCCTGCAGGAATGGCTCTGGCGAGGGGCTGCCAGGGCTGGTGGGGGCTGAAATGCCATCCAGGTGCAGATGGAAGGAGGAAGATTCGGGACAGGTAGTGCCCAGGTGAGGAAAGTCTTCCTGAATTCTGAGAGCAGTTCCCCTTTTGGTGTAATGCATCATCACAGAACATGGGCAGCTGGATCCCCACAGTGACATATCAGGCTGGAATAGAAGTGTTGAAAGTTTGCCAAAACCACTATCAGCAGAAGAGCTGATTGCACTGTAAATACTAGTGCTTGTAAAAGAGGAGGGGTAGTTTCCTCCTAGAAGTTCTGGAAGCTTATTGATATGACCTAATGAATAATTAAGAAGCTTTTTGCATCAGTCCATGGCTTCTGACAAGGTTGTCAAACTTTGTTCTCTAACTGCCATGAGCTGTTCTCTCATCCAGCACTGATGACAGGAGATGATGCCATTTAGTGCAAATAGTGCATTTGTAGCTGAGGTTTTGAGCCATCATGGAGTGAATCATCTTTCATTGAGATGAGTGCATATAAAATATCTTGTTTTCCTGAAGTGATCAGAGCAAGTTTGCAAGCAGAGGCCCGGTGAGGTACAGTGCACCCTGGCAGGAAGCAGCCGCTGGCATTAGCTGTCAGAGTAGCACAAAGGGCTTTTGGGTCACATTGTGCTCTGGGCTAAAAATAACCATCAGAAGTCCAGGCTTGAAGCAGAGACTGTTTCAGAGCAGCTGCAACAGTTCCAGCTGCTGTCTGCCTCCCAGTGAGTATTTGGGTGTTCTGGTTTCCTGAGGTGCTGACATGAACGGGGGTGCTGGGCAGGTCTGAGTGAGGGTGTTGTTACACAAGACAAGTATCTGTGTTTGCTACCTGTGCTCCTCAGCACTTCACTGCAGCTTGTCCTAGTTACCAGCTTTGCTCTGTGCACTGCCTGACTAGTGTGCACTGAATCATGAAGGGATTAAAGTCTTAATTTTCTTCTTTGCAGCCATGGGAATAAAGAAGTGTTCTCCTGCCGAGGTATCCTTCTGGCTGTCCAGTGGTTTTGGGACAGGGGACACAAGGATATTACAGTCTTTGTGCCATCCTGGAGGAAGGAGCAGCCCCGACCAGATGTACTCATAACAGGTATGAAAATATGGAAACCAAAAGTAGCTTTTCAGGCTGACTGCTCTGTCATTCAGCGAGCTTGCAGAGTTCTGGTTAAGTCAGTAATTAACTTCAGAATGGAAAGTCTGAGTAGTAGGAGCTGCAATGAGCTGAACTGACCGGGGAGTATTAGTCATTAACTTCTCCCCTAAGCCAGCTTTTGCCAGAATCAGTTTATAATCAGGAATTATTCAGAAAACAAGAAATGTAATACTGCTCTGCTTCCTAACTTCTTGTCTTTTATTTCTTGATATTTTTCCTCTTGCAGGGGACACGCTTTGTATTTAACTGAAGCATATTTAGCCAGAATTATTCAAATGGAGGGGAGCTTGCAGAGAGCTGAGATTTGAATAACTCAGAACACCAGTGAGCAGGGCTGAGTACAGTCTGGGTTGTGGAGAGACAGAATGAATGTTTTTGTTTATTTATAATGTTACTTTATCTGCATGGAGGGCTATAGTATTCAGGGCAACCCCAACAAAGGGGATAGAATAATGCATCTAATTCCATGGATATCAAAAGGCTGATTGATTACTTTATTTTACTATATTATTCTATATTCTATTACATTACATCTAAACTGAATCTGCCAAGCACACAACTGCACTCCACTGCCCTAATCTCGTGACTGTCACTGGCAGTCCCGACACACACACACACACACACACTTGGCCCCGATAGGCCAAGGAAACAAAACCCCATCACTCTGGGCAAACAATCTCCATATTGCATTCTACTTTTGCACAAACACAGGCACAGCAAATGAGATAAGCATTGCTTTCCCTTTCTCTGAGGTTCAGATTTTCTCTGTGAAGCAAACTGTCTACAGAGGGCCGTGCAGGTGCGCTGACAGTTGTGTTTGCTCTAGACCAGTACATCCTGCGTGACCTGGAGAAGAAGAAGATCCTGGTGTTCACACCGTCACGGCGTGTGGGCGGCAAGCGCGTGGTGTGCTACGACGACCGCTTCATCGTGAAGCTGGCCCACGAGTCCGACGGCATCGTGGTGTCCAACGACACCTACCGCGACCTGCAGAACGAGCGGCCCGAGTGGAAGAAGTTCATCGAGGAGCGCCTGCTGATGTACTCCTTTGTCAACGACAAGTATGGCTCGTGCCTGCAGTTTTTAGCTTGTGGTTTTTATTATCAGGTTTTTTATTTCTCGTACAGCATCAGTGCGTAACTCTAAACTCCGTATAGAGCGTTAGTAAGCTCTCATCATGTGTTGGTCATGTCTTGTATTTGTGGGTTCCCAGATGAAGGAAGGAATGATGCATCTGACTCCATGTTCTTAGAAGGCTAATTTATTATTTTATGATCTATATTATATTAAAGAATACAGCAAGGATACTTACAGAAGGCTAAAAGATACTCATCAGGTTTTTTGCTTCTTGTGCAGCGTCAGTGCGTAACTCTAAACTCCATGTAGAGTGTTAGTAAGCTCTCATCACGTGTTCGTCAGATCTTGTATTTGTGGGGTTCCCCAGACAAAGGAAGGAATGATGCATCTGACTTTGTGTTCTTAGAAGGCTAATTTATTATTTTGTGATCTATATTATATTAAAAAATACTATACTAAAGAATACAGCAAGGATACTTACAGAAGGCTAAAAGATACTCATGAGAACTTGTGACTCTTTCTCCAGAGTCCGACACAGCTTGGCCGTAATTGACCAATAAGTTAAAAAAAATTCACGTGAAACCAATGAAACAACCACCTGTGGGTAAACAATCTCCAACCACATTCCAAAGCAGAAAAACACAGGAGAAGCAACTGAGATAATATTGTTTTTCTTTTTCTCTGAGGCCTCTCAGCTTCCCAGGAGAGAAATCCCGGGCAAGGGGATTTTTCCATGAAATATGATGGTGAGAGTCAGACAATACAATCCTTCTGGGCCTGAGAACCAAGGGCACCCTCTGCCTCAGGCCCTGAAAAGTATAAACAAAATTGAATTGGGAGAATGGGAGAAAATTGGGGAATATGACTTCATTACCTGAAGCTGTAATTGGGCAATTAACCCCTGATGTGCAAATAGACCAAACTTAGATCTGTCTGAAAAACTCATGACCGTGGTCCTTCTTGGGTGTAGCCTCTGGAAGGCTTTTGACTGCCCAGGGTGTATCTACTGAAGGCCTTTAATAAATACCCACTTTATTCTCCACTCTGGCTAGCCTCTGTTCTAGGGAGCCACTCCACGGCATCATGATCACATTTTCCTGCGCTTTTAAGAAAGATCTGTGTGATCACACTGGCTAGTTCTAATGAAACAATGGCAAGTGATGCATGAGAAGAGCAAAATGCTAGTGAAGAAATAATGAAAAGCTGTAGGATACAAAGCCAAAAGAAGTTCGACCGTGGTCTATCTTGGGTGTAGCCTCTAGAAGGCTTTTGACTGCCCAGGGGGTATCTATTGAAGGCCTTTAATAAATACCCACTTTATTCTAACTCTGGCTAGCCTCTGTTCTAGGTAGCCACTTCATGGCATCATGATCACGTTTTCCTGGGCTTTTAAGAAAGATCTGTGTGATCACACTGGCTAGTTCTAATGAAACAATGGCAAGTGATGCATGAGAAGAGCAAAATGCTAGTGAAGAAGTAATGAAAAGCTGTAGGATACAAAGCCAAAAGAAGTTGGCGGCATCTCAGTAGCTGCTCCTAATTTAGAAGTAGGAGCTCCAAGGAATGCTCCAGGGTGTGATTTTCTCACAGGACAGCTGTTAGCAGCAGGTACTAATTCTGGTTGACAACCAGGCATTGAACCTCTTCTGTGCCTGGAGGGAAGCATTCTGTGCTGGTGTGGACTGGGTGGCAGGAGGGTTATCTCTGCAGGAAATGGGAGAGCTTTGTAGGGCTCAGATAGCTTGTGATCTTTAATGAAATAGGAGGCTTTGAGAAGACACCAAACCTCAACTCAGAAGTGAACTGCTTCTGACTGAGATTTGTTTTTCTTTAGGTTTATGCCTCCAGATGATCCCTTAGGGCGTCATGGCCCCAGCCTGGATAACTTCCTCAGGAAGAAACCTGTAGTTCCAGAGCACAAGAAACAGCAGTGCCCTTATGGTAAGACCTGCCTTCTTAATGTGAAGAACAAGGTGCCTGTGCAAGTGTCACTCATAATCTAGTCAAATCCAGCTGGTCATTCCATGCTCTGGCTTTCCTTACAGGGAAAAAATGCACTTATGGAATTAAGTGTAAGTTCTACCATCCTGAAAGGATCAACCAGCCACAGCGATCGTTAGCTGATGAACTCCGTGCCAACGCAAGGCTCTCTCCAACCAGAAGTACCAGTGCCAAGGAGGAGAAAAAGGGGAAGCGGGGCTCCCAGGCAGAGCTCTTGTGCTCTGTGCCCACGGAGAGTGACAAAGGCTCTTTACAGAAGGTCTCTGCAGAGAGGAAGAGCTTGGCCCACAAAGCCAAGCCCAGTGACGTTGTGCTTCAGGCCAAAGGCTGTGTGCCAGGCACTGTCTCCCCTGACAGGTACCAGCAGCCTCCCATGGATTCTCTGTCTTACATCTCTCAGGAGCACCTCGACTCAGGCATTGGGTCTCTGGAGAACCAGCTGTCTGACATGTGGCCTCACAGATGTACCAGTCACTGTGACCATTCCCATGCGGAGCAGGTGCCCGTCTGCTCCTGTGGCAGGCAGAGACCTGTGTACCCCCATTCCCCCAGCTTAGAGCAGAACGGTCTGGTCTCCTACAACCACAGCTCCCACAAATCATCATCCTCTGGTGCTAGCTTCTTGCAATACAGCCCCGAGATGTCCCGCTCAGGGGCTCCCCCCTCTTTCTCAGGCTTTGGGGTGCCTGTGCACGCGGGGGCAGCGGGGCAGTACAGCCTGCCTGGGGAGTTCGGCGCCGCCGTGCCGCGCTCGCGCGAGTTCTGGTCGGAGCCGTACGCGCTGCCGCAGGTGAGATCCCCGGGCGTGCACAGCCCCCGGCCCGTGCAGAGGGCCCCGGGGCCGGCCTACGGGGACTCGGGGCCCTGGGCTGCTGAGGAGCAGTTTGCTGAGGAGAGGGCCAGCGTGCACGTCAAGCTGTGTGGCATCTTCCACCCCCACCTGGTGGATGCAGTCATGAGCCGCTTCCCCCGGCTGCTGGACCCCCAGAGGCTGGCAGCAGAGATCCTCACCTACAAGGCCCAGAACCCAGGTGTGTGAGGCAGGTGCCAAGGGCAGGCAGGTATGGGGAGGGCTTGAGGGGCTGGGTTTGCCTCTGCAGCTGCCACAGATGCCTTCTGAGTTGCTCCTTCTTATTCCCTTGGAAGTACTGGGCTCCAGCTGGAGGCTGGGTGCCAGATGTGGTGTGCTCACAGCAAATTCTGCTCCAGCTATGACCACATGCCTGTGGGAGAGGTGAGAACACCCCAGCGTCCCACCTTCCCCAGGGGCTAAGCAGGAAGGGAGGCTGCAGCTCTAGAGCAGGACTGTTCCTTTGGGGGTCATGGGAGTCTGGCACACCCTGAGCTCCTGCAGTTGTCCATAACTGGATGTGAGAGAAGTGGGTGCTGCCTTTGTAGTGGCCTAAGGCTAGTTTCTGAGGACCCAAATGCCTTTTCAATGCTGTTGTTAGGTCCTGACTAAGCCTTTTGACTAAATCCCACCACTCAGATCTGTGGCAAATGTTGCATTATTAACGTAATCTGAAGCTGGGTTTATCTGACTGGTTTTACTGGTGCACTTCTTGAATGATGTTTTCCACACCCCTCCCACCTCAGCTGATTTTCCTGAGGTAATTGTGCCCCACAGACCACAAGTGCTTAGTGAGCTGTGAGCTCCCAGGAGCACAGTCCTTGCTCAGGAGGAGTGGCTGGACACTGCTCCAAGGCTGTGTGTGAGTTGTGGGTTGGGTGTGTGCTGACAGCTGCAGTGTCAGAGCAGGTGGGTGAGCTGAGCATGCTGTGAGTGCTGCTCTGGAACTGTCTCTGTCCCAGGATGGCTCTGTACAGCACTGACAATGATTTATTATGTGCCTTTTGCCTTCAGACAGCAATAGAAGAGCTGCAGTCACATCTGGACTGCTGCCAGGGGCCTTTCCAAGGAGTCTTTAATATTTTGTGTTGTAAAGCTGTTGCTTCCTCTTCTTCCTCACCAATATTCCCCTGTCCCCTTTGGCTGTGCCCAACTAGAGCAGCATCCAGAATTGTAGAATAAGAATTATTTGGCAAGACTGTTTCTGTTCCATTTCCTCTTACTCTGTAAGATGTTTTCTATTGTAGGTACTGTAAGAGATTTTAAATATGCAAAACCAATTGCTGTAGTAATTGGTTCTGGTCCTGGAATTTTGCTGTGCAAGGGATGCAGAAGTGTTCCTGGCACTTGCAGGCCAGAAGCAGTTGATTTGTTGATACACATTGTATCTGTGTGTGGTGTTGTTTTCTAAATACAATACGCCCTTCTGTGGTTGAACCAAGGTTATTGAGTGGCAAATTAGGAAGGGGAGAGTGGAAGGCAGCTGGTCCTGAAACCCTCCTGGGAGCAGTGTTGTCTGTTCCTGCTCTTCCCTCTGCTGTCCAAGGAATGACCTGCCCAGACTGGCACCATGTGCCATGAGACCACAGGGACACAGGAACCTGTATACCTGGTTAATAATGATACATTACAAATTAGTAATGTTTCATGTTAGTAAGCAAAATGCTTCTTAATTTTAAATAACCTGATACTTTGCATATTTGTAAATTACAGATAAAATGGTTTTTAATGTTACTGTTCAGCACCTTGCTGCTTGCAGTTTTAATCAATGCTGTTCTCACCTCAGCCAGATGTTACTTGGCAAGGTGGGTTTGGGTTTCTGGTGGAATGCTGGTATCTGCTGCCTCTCTTGCAATGAGAAGATTAACATTTTGTACTCCCCAGCTGACACTTGCTGAACTTTCTGTATCACTATGCAGTAATGTACTGAACAGCCATGTGACAGCCCTGGCAAAGAAAAACTGTGTTATATAAATAAAAACTGCTGAGTTGACATATTTGGTCTCTGGTGGCTTTGTGGAGGAATATTCAGCATTTTGGTTGGCTTTCTGGGGTAGCCAGAGAAATGATCCTTCCTCCCTGAGTTCCTCTGACTGGCTTTGATGTCTGTGTGCAGTGTGAGGCTGGTTATTGACAGGCTGCTGATCGATGCAGTGAGACCAAAACATCCATGTGCTGTGGCAGATAAGGGCATGTGCAGTGTCTGCTGCTGATTTGGCTGGGTTGCTCAGTGCCCAGGGCAGGCAGGACAAGCAGCAGCACTGGCTCTCACTCAGCACCACAGTGTGGGTGTCTCTGCTGCTAAAGCAGCATTTATTGCCATTTAAAGCAGCAGAATTGCCACACTCCTGGCAATTTTGGAATCAGCATGGACTGTGTTTGGCTTTAAGGGGCAATTCCAGTACAGCCTGGAAATAAATACATATTTTCTCCAGTTACAGTACATCTGTGTTGGGTGTTGAGTGTGGAATATGTGAATGGTAACGTGTCCAGGTTTTGTTCTGAAGATTTGTTATGGACTGGAAGTGCAGCAGGAATATCAGTGGTCACCTTGTGGTGTAGGATCTTCCCCTCCCACCTGCTCCCCTGCAGCACAGCACGTTCTTATCTCACTGGTTAAATAACTTTATGGTCTGTATTGAAACTTGTGCTCTTCATTTACCACAGGGCAGTGACTCTGTAGTTAATCAGAAACCAGGGAGGCAGGTGCTCCCAGAGACCAGCTGCATTTCAAAACAAACCTGCAGCTCTCAGTCTGAAATCTTTATTGACTGTGAGAGGAAGCCTGTGAGGCTGTCACTGCAGTGACAGAGCTCATGTGGCTCTGTGTGTGTGGTGGGGGGGATGGAGTGGTGTGTCAGGGATCTGAGCACACCTTTAACTAGGTGAGGAGTTTGCTGCTGTCTGTAATGGCATCTGTAGTTGAAAAATGCTGCAGGATTTTAAGGCTGGTGTTCCTGTAAAAGACAATAGGCAATTCTAATTTTACAGGATGTGTCAAGGGGTAAATGTTCATTTTTGTGTCTCAAAGCTGCACTGAGAGACAATTAAGGAATCAATGCAGGGGTTCATTATCACAACCAGGAGAGGAAGAGCTGGAGCTGACTGACTGGTTGTGATGTTTCTGCTGCAGGGACAGTCCTGGGGGCACATGGGGTGGTTTGGGAGGGTCATGCCCCAGCACAGATGTGGTTGAAGTTTCTCCCCCAGACTGCTCTGTGTGCTGCTGGGGCAGGCAGCAAGTCCAGCTCAATCCCACTGCTGTGCTCTGAGTTTTCTCCTTCATTCACACAAAGTTATGTGTCCCCATTCCCCAAGCTCACTGTGGTGCCAGAGATCTGGGAAATGGGAATGCTGACTGGAACTGTTGCTGCTGCACATTTTTTCTCCTACGTGCTCCTCAGTGCCAGGAGTGGTGGGGCTGCCTGCCTGCACACCTTGGCAACCCTGCTGGGGCTGTTAAATTGGAGTTTTTAGGGTGCATCCTCTGGTTTAGCACTTCTGGGGCTTGGGGGTAGAGCCTGCTGTGACTGCTGGGTGTTTGTTTTTGGGTGTTTTGCCAAACTGGGTCAGATCTGTGTGTCAGCTCTCTGGGCTGTTGGGGAGAGAAGGAGGTCACACATGGGCCTGTTGAAGGTTTCCTGTGCTCAGGGGCTTCCCAGCCCTCATCCTGTCAGCTGTGTGCCACTGAAGCCTCGTGCTGAGCTTCAGGAGAGGCTGGTTCCTCCAAGCAGGCCAGTCTGCTCTCCAGGGCCTGCTCATCTCTCCACTGCCCTGTGCTGCCCTTGCTCCCTGAACTTCCATTTGAACTCAGCTGGTTCCCTCCCCCTGGGGCTTTCCAGGATGTGACTAGCTCAGTTCCAACATCTTAAAGCATTTCCAGAGGCAGGAATGGGGAAGGCTCCTGTGTAGGCTGTGGGGAAGGGGATGGGGTGTGTGCACCATCATTGGGATGTGGTGATGGGAGCAGATTCAGCATCCACCCCCTGCTCCCCAGTGCTGAGGCTGCTGAGCTGCTGCTCTCCCTGTAGAGAGGAATGGATGTACCAAGCATGGTAGCAGCTCTGCACCCTGTGCCCCAAACTGCTGCTGCAGCACAGCCTCCCTGAGACAGGAGTGCAGGAAGAGAAGGGAAGGGTGCTGGGGAGGAACTGGGTGCTGCCCCAGGGCAGTGGGGAGAGGCTGGGGTGATGATGGTGGTGCTGCCTGTTTCATTTCCTCTTACTCTATGTTTTCTATCGTAAGAGATTTTAAATATCTAAATTAAATTCTATAGCAAAACTGATTGCTGTAGTAGTTGGTTCTGGTCCTGGAATTTTGCTGTGCAAGGGATGCAGAAGTGTTCCTGGCACTTGCAGGCCAGAAGCAGTTGATTTGTTGATACACATTGTATCTGTGTGTGTTGTCAAGATGCTGTCAGCACTTGCCCTCCAGCCACGTGTGTTTCAGCTCTCACAAGCTTTCCTGAGGGCCCTGAATACCCCGGTGTTCCCCAAGGCCAGGGGCTGCCCCTGGAAGCCAAAGCCCTGTCTGGGGCAGCAGCAGCCTGCCAAAGCCACCGAGGGCCCTGGCCAGGGCTGGGGAGCAGTGTTGCACAAGTGTGCTGGAGTAAACGCAGCCTCAGGTTAAGCAATAGGTCAGGAGGCTTTGGCTGGGGAAAAGTTCTGTGCCCTGTGTGGTGGCTCTTGCCTTGCTGCAGGGGCTGCTCCATGGGGGCTGCAGAGCTGGTGGCTGTAGCTAATGCTGCTTGATGTCACCCTCTTCCTCCTGCACCCTGGTCCCTGCGGGCTGGCTGGGGATTTCCAGCCCAAGGATTGACACAGAGGATGGAGGCTAGAGCAGGACCTTGTCACGTCACTGTCTGGTGTCCCCGTGGTCCCAGCATGGAGGGGACTGTGATTCCTGCAGGAGTGCCAGCTTGGGGCCCCCATGGCACTGCCAGTTCAGTGGCAGGACCTAGTTTTCTGTGGCATTTCTGAGCAGCACGGGGCTGTCCCTGGCTGCAGGGTGAGTCAGGCTGCTGCTATTGGCGTTGCATCAGTGGGAGCTGCACGGGCACGTCGGGAGGACAGATCCCTGCCAGCCCTGCTGCTGCTGGAGCCCAGCCCCTGCTGTGGGTGGGTGCTGCCCGTGTTCTGCTTCAGTGAAAACTCACCCTGTCCCCCTCCCCAAAGAGCTGGGGGCCTGCAGGGCACTGGTGGAGCTGTCCCAGCTCTGCTGGGGAAGGACCAGGCAGACACAAGCGATGGAGAGCAGCTGCCTGTATTGAGCAGTGGGGGCCTGGGGCAGGGTGCAGCCCCCTGTGCTGGGCCAGGCCTGGGCACTGGGCAGCCCCTCAGCCCTGCAGGCTCCTGGGCCAGCTGTTCTGGCCAGCCCAGGGCCCTCAGCCGTGCCTGGGAGCTGGCTGCCCTTGACTGCTGTCCCAAGGAGCCAGCCCGGGGTTGCGACATGAGCAGGAGCAGCTGGAGAGGATGGATCTGGCCCATCAGGAAGTCAGTGGGTGAGTTTTGCAATCCCTCGCCCCAGTGCAAGGTGACTGAAGCTGGTGCTGATCAGACCCTTGTTCCTGGAACTCCCAGCAAGCAGCAGAGCAGGAGGATGCTCCTCGGTGGCTTCACCAGGCACAGTCAGCCCTGGGCAGGGAAGGCTGTGACGTGTCCTGGGGCAGACCCAGGGCCAGTGGCTTGTCCTGACCTGCCTCCAGCTGGCTCCTGCTCCTGGGGAATGGCTGCAGCTCTGCTGGATGGGGCCAGGCCCAGCCAGCACCAAGGGATGGATGGAGGCACATACAGGGATACAGCTGGGGCTGCAGCAGCCTGGCCCGTGTCCTGCAGCGCCTGGGCAGGGAGGAGTGTGTGGATCCTGCCTGGTTTGCTGAGGCCCTGCTCACAGCTTCACTTACATTTTCTGCCTGTCACGCTGGATGGAGCCACGTGGCTGCTGAGGTGCCTCCATCCACTGGCGTCCTGGAAAAGAGCAAAGGAGAGAGGGGACACCACTGGGAGCACCCAGCCAGGCTCCTGATGGGAACAGAACTGGGAGCCTTTCCCAGCACCTACCTCCCCAGGCTGCCAGTGCCACCCAGTGCCCAGATGGGAGCTGGTGCATTACCCGCACTGCCCATTAGCAGAACATTGCCCCTCCCCAGAGGCTCCCTGTGCCCCTCCACAATTCCCAGCCCCTACCTTCTGGGCTCTCTCCCTCACTCCCACTGGCACTTTGGTCCTCTGCTTCCCCCAGCAGCTCGGGGCTGTCCCCCCTGTTCCACCGCCACGGCAGCTCCTGCAGCTGGAGCAGGGGGTGAGGGGCTGTGGGGGCTGGCACCCCCAGGCTGGCACCCCCGGGCAATCCCAGGGCACTCACCCGTTGGCGCAGACTCTGCTGTTCCTGCAGCAGCTCCAGGAACCGGCTGCTCCACAGAAGTTTCTCAGCGCCCAGCTCGGTGCAGAGGAATCTGACGTCGGCCTCCAGAGCCTCCAGCCTCCCCAGCATGGCCTCGCCGCGCCACTGCCACTGCCCTGGCACCACAGCTCAGCTCCTGCCACCCCCCACGGCACCAGCCACCCTGGGGACACCCCTGGGCCGGGACCCACCTGTCTGTCCAGGCTCCCACGCAGAATCTGAGTCCACATCTTCCTCCTCCTCCTCACTCCCCTCCAGTCTGAGCTGCAGAGCTGTGCCGAGCTGGAAGCCAACGTGGACAGTGGGGGCTCGCAGGCCCAATGAGCCCTGGCACCAGCCCTGCCCGGGGAGCCCCCCAGTGCCACCCAGCAGCTGCTGTCACCAGGCTCAGCTCTTCCGGGGGTGGTGAGCAGCCTGGTCTCTCCCACTGGGGAATTACCTCCTCGGTGACCTGCAAGGCGCCATCCCAGCAGCTCTTGTAGCACATCAGCAGCACCTGCGGGAGGGAAGGGCTCACCCTGCGCAGTGCAGGGCCTGGAGCGGTGTCCCTGTGTCCCCAGGGCTCCCGCTGGGCACAACCACACCCAGCCG